CCACGCTTGGTATTGCTGATGCACAAAAATATTTATAATAATAGAAGGGCGTCTCTCTGTTTGTGTGTTACCACAATAGCTCCAAGAGGAAAGAACCTAAAAACCCGAAATTTTGCACTCATACTAAGTGGACCCTGAGGGTGTGCATCTGGGTATTATTACTTATCCATGTGTGTGCGCATTTTTTTAATGAGGCATGCTAGCGAAAAAATACAGTGCTTTTTGGTAAAAATAGGTTCCAACAATGGCTTTTTATGTCATGTCGTTTAGCACCAAAAGTATAACCTAATATTGTTGTTAGTCTATGCACTGAAAGTATAAAATGATATGTATAAACTACAAAATTGAAACAAATATTTGTTAATTTCTTAATTTAGTTTCTCTTATTTAAATTTAGAAACGATTAGTTTCAAACTGAATCAATATTTTTACTTACATAATACACTTTATGCACTTGGCTCTAGGCTAGGTTATGTTACACTGTGTCTTTACTTTAGGCTTATTTATTCATTTCTTTAAATCATACCATCCACTAAACTTACAAGGTTTCACGGCCCCCTCGCACCCCGTCACTAAAATCGTAATGGACAGACATTAAACGAATAATTCTATCTTGATAAATGCATTTTGGCTTTTATGAATCTTCTTATTTCGAAAAATCAAGATAAATTAAACGTGACATGACACACACTAGCTTTTATACAAGTTAGATAACGTGACATATAGTGGCATCTATAATTATCTATAATAATTTTATTATTATTGTCTCTTTACGACTTTTTTATGTTTCTGGGAAATAAAAATATGTTTAAATATTTTAGACTGTTCTTCTATCTTAAAATCGGTTCAGAATACACTCGCTGACATATCAACCTAACAACCTGAGCGAAGCCGGGTACTTTCGCTAGTAGCTGATAAAAAAGTTTAAAAAGGTCTTATAGATTACTCTAATCCTGTCTGGAAAAAATTGCAAGTGCCTCGGCTATTCAGGATTCCCTCTTGTTATTATCTTCTTCAGTATAAACTATGCTAAACAGGACATAGGAATTTACTACCGTTATAAGTTTACGATACAAGACTGAAACTAAAGGCTTGTACAATCATATACTATCGAGCATTAAAAATGCTTGTGGTTAACATTAAGATTGCCGGAAAATAATTTTACACGTCACTAAACACTGTGATTACGTTACATTTAGAAGTGGAAAGATGAAAAGTGAATAATACGCATAGTAAAAATGAATATAATTATATTATCCTTAATGTTGATATACAATGTTTCGGGCCAGTGCTCTTACTCAGGTATAACACTACGCCGAAACGTTGTATATCAACTTTAATTAAATATTATTTACATTTTTCCTGTCTTTATGGCGAATTTTTTTCAACAACTTAATCTACATTTCATTTTAAAGTTCTGAATCAGTAACATCATTCCCGTGAACGGTGTAAACAAAAATATCAGGGAAACCTCAATGGCCGCGGCACTTGAAATTCTTTTAAGCAAGACTAGAGTAAATTAATCTATGCGACCATTTTAGCCGCGGCATAACGGCTAATAGAATGGCTTTGATTTTGTTTTTTCAAGTACAAACTTTTAGTTCATAGCTTCGTCATTTCTTGACCGATTTGAGATCTAATTATCCATATTTATGTGCGCCAGCAATATCAAGCATTGGGCGAGCATATACCCGATTCAATATTATTACTCATCAGGATCTCTACCAGCCTTCCCTCAAATTGAAATAATTTGGGCAGGATTAGAGTAAATTAATCTATGTGACCTTGGGTGTGGTCAAATACATGAATCGAAAGGTTTTGACCTCTTGAGTCCAAAACTGTAATTAGATATCAAATAGGTCAAGAGATGACGGAGCTATAAGCTAAAAGTTTGTACTTGAAAAACTCAAGAGCCATTCTATGAGCCGATATGCCGCGGCTAAAAAGGTCGCATAGATTAATTTACTCTAATCTTGCCTAAAAGAATTTCAAGTGCCGGTTAATAAATGTTTGTTCATCTGGCGAAACAAAAACAGCTAATATCATGTTGTAATACCAGAGGGACACTTAGTAGAGGGCATATCTCCGCTAGGCAACGCTGATGATATTCGGCTCTCAAAAAATAGACAAATGTATCCGTAAGTCCAACGTTATCGAAGGACCATTTTTGGCAGGAAGATGAGAAATAAAATTCTATATATGTCCACCAAGTTTCATCAAAATCCGATCATAGTGTGAAAAATCTGTCTCCATGTTAACAGATAAGGATTTTTGGATTTTTTTGACCTATCTGTGATCTTGACTCTTCCAAAATTAATCATTTCTAAGATGGGTCATAGTCCAAATAGTCCGTTCCAGAGAAATCTTGCTGACAAACACACATATATACAGGGATGAAAACACAACATTTTGGGGGCTGAGGTAACTATCATCCATACATTATAAATATCATAATGTCAAATGTAGTATTTGCCTTAAAACGGAAGTTTGGTCTTCTTGTACGTTACCCTGTAGCTAACAAGAAATTATTAACTTTTATATACTTCTGTTTGATAATTTTGGTAATAGGTGCTTTATATTAAAATTATTTTAGAATCTCACCACGTCTGGTAATGCTCCGTCTGACTACCATGAATACTCTGCAGCGTAGATTTAATTGCAAAATTCTTCGTCGCGTGTCTATCATGTATAAAGCACACTCATCCGCCTGAGAACTCTTCACAAGTCATCTAAAGCGTGAGGGCGCTGGTTTCTCAGCCCTCATTTCATCAACTCGATCGCACAGAAAAACACAGGCGGTGCATTGGAGAACTTGACCGGGTATGACTTGGTATGGAATTGCATTAATATCCAGCTGCTTGGTGTATGCCACTTTTGAACAAATATATCGTGGAAATAACTTGGGTTCACGATGTATTTTTCTGATGTTTACTTGGATATCATTAGGCTGCGTTTCCTTTCATAACGTCATATTTTAGCTATTTCGCGATTTAAAAGTGAGCATTAACATTCACACTACGTAGACTCTGTCATGGTTCAGCATGGTAGTGTTACTATAACTAAGAGTTTCACATTTCACCAGCTTTGTTTATATGCCACAACCTGCTGCATTTGATATGATTATAAATAGGCTTTCATGTTTCATATCTAATACTCTGGCCACTCTAACACTGGTACTAGCGTAAAGCCTCTTCTACAGAAGCGCGTAATAGACAGTGTATAGTTGAAATGCTTTTATACACTTGGCTTATTCGAGACTCCAGAAAGCACTTATGCTTAATATTGTTTCGAGGCATAAGTGTACTATTTTAATTTTAAACTGTTTTACATTCTCGTAAAATAATTATAATTCAATTACCCAGCGTAAAGGTTCTAAGAATAATAACATTAAAAGTTAAAGTTGGGTACAAAGGAAATTCGTATAATTGTGATATCTTAGTAAAAGAAGTTCCTATGAACTAGGCTAATCGAAAGGATGACTGAAATTTCAAGTTTTAGGCAGTTTAACGATAACATCCGAGTGATATGTTATCTTAATGCCTGTTATCCTAAAAAACATATTATCCATCTCTTACTTCGTTACTGTTACTTCTATTTTATTCCAAGTTTATCGTTACTTGTATGGTTTATTGAAATGTTTTTTTTACACGCACAGTAATCCTACATTTATAAAGGAATTTCAAGAATATAAGGCTTTGATGCTACTAATATATTATTGTGAATTATTCAATCAAACAAGCTGTTTAAATACTAAAAACTAAATGTTTAGCCCAAGATATCATTCGATTTACCACTTGTTACTGAGTTATACCGGTTTCGGGGAATTACATCCCTCATCAGTAAACCTGGATATCGCCGTATCGAAAGAATAAGGATAGGCTTCACATAGCGGCGAAGTGTAAACTTTATTTATGGTGATTTGAAATGTATTTTATTAACACAGTGATCACATATCTACACTAAAATTTCAAAAATATGCAACATTTATACTATTAATTTATTCTTGTGAATTCTCCAGCTAGATAAGCTAGTATTATTCTTTTGATCTGCTCTTATCCAAAGCTACTGATGAGTGGTGGAATTCTCCGAAACTGATATAACACTATAACTTATAACTAACAAGTGGTAAATCGAATGATACAAGTGGGTTTCACGTTTATTCTATTAGTATTTTAAATTTACTTGGTAACGCATAAGAATACCAAGCTTATCACCTAATGTTATATATAAGAAGTTATAAAAATTACCATCGTCATTGTCATTATATTTTGAAGATTTTTTTAGCTCGTGCGATATTCGTCTTGATTACATGTTGCATACGCTGATAGTCATTGTACGCAGTACGAATCAATTCAGCTTATAACCAGAAAAGAACTAGCTAAAGGCAGTTGTAAAATGAATATATGTGAATTAAAACAAATTCAAAATTCAACATGCGTTAAAATTTTCTTCTGTAACCGACTAAATTCCACATTACTAACAATACTGATAGCTTAATCCCATGTTTGATGTTTTTTTTTATTAAATAAGTTACACTGAAGAGCCTTCAATGAATGTTTTGTACTAGCTTTTAATGTTTTATAACACGCCTTGGCTTAAGTTAAGTCATAAAGCTTTCCCACAGCCGAGAAAGTTGAATACATTGCACGTTTCTTTCATTATGTGATTTCGCTACACATCACAATATTACCAGATTACCAAGCCATACGTTGAATGAATACTTGAGTCACTCAGTCTTACTCTTAGTAAAATAAATGTTTTACGAGTTTTAGTCCTAGTGTTGTACTAGTACTAGTAGTAAGAGTTAAACCGTTACTAATAGTAGTAATACTAAGATCTTTTACTAGTTTTATTTTTCTAATAAGTCATTCTATTAGCCTTAATATTTGAAATAGTTAATTGATTATAGTCCTATTTTTTACTTATGTGAAACCTACGTAAGTTTTATTAATTGGAAATTATTACTAAATATCAATATTCAAAGTTTTAAACAAACTTACCCGAGAAAAGGTGAAACCTGGTTAACTAGGTCGATTAAATAAAATCATGGAAAATGACAGTCGTATTACTAAAACTTTAAAAATTCCCTGAACGAATGTTTTTTTTTAATGCCGCACTTTTGTAGTAACTAAATAGTAATGGTATTGATGCTACTTCCTTGAACATAGTTTAACAAACTATTTGAATTGCACATCATCAGACGGGATATCCTTCGCAAAACATCGTAAGAAATTCATTTCTAAATCACGCAAGCACTACGTAGCGCCCTCACACGGTACTTGAAAGAAAGACAAATTACTGTTATATTTTATGTGAAAAAAAAGGTAGAATCATCAATCCCTATTGTGAACAACTTTATGCGAAAGCGTATGCGCGTTTAGAACAAGAATTCATACATTTGCTCAAATTTGTAGTTTGATCTGTGTAGAATATTTCTTGAAGCTTCTTTTTTCCAACTCGCATAATGAAAGTGATATTTAACATATTAATACAATAACTAGTTAATTGTCTCTTAACTGAATTCCCCTCGACGTGGATTCCTGTACGTGGTGAGGGGACCTCCCAAGGAAGGTTCTGTATTTACAGTTACTT